CTAAGGCACCTCTGAAATAACACTAGGGCACCTCTGAAATAACACTAGGGCACCTCTGAAATAACACTAGGGCACCTCTGAAATAACACTAAGGCACCTCTAAAATAACACTAGGGCACCTCTGAAATAACACTAGGGCACCTCTGAAATAACACTAGGGCACCTCTGAAATAACAAATGTCAAATGAATTAAGGTTAAAAGCATAACGTGTTCCCAAAGACTCCATTTGTTACAGTAATTTGAGTTTGGAGATGGCTCCCTTTGTACCTCTACTTTTCTCTCCACGTTGTCTGACTCAAAGAAGAAGTCTGCTAACTTCCTGTGCCACCACAGCTGCGGCGATGAGCTGCTGGCTTCCTCGCTCGAAGGAAAGTATCTAAAAAGCAGTTAAAGATCATACCTTTGTGTTGATACTGCGAGTGGAATGGGGATGTTAAGCTTTGGGCCAGGGCGGACGAAGACAATTTCCGGGGGGGGGAGGTGTCAGGCCTATCAGATTTTTTTAAATGTCACGAAGTACACATAGATAATACATGAAATTGCTTCTAATGTACTCAGAAATACTAACTCTTGATGGATGTCATCCTTTATATTAATATTTCTATTTTTTACTATTTTGTTTAATTTTTCATGCCCAAACGAGGGGGGGGTTTCAACCCCCAAACCGGATCCCTGCCTGGCTAGAAAGTAGAACCAATGTCAGATACTGTTTAGCAAAAAAGATGACAATTACTAGGCCTAAGAACGGACCACACAGACCCTCTGTATACTGGGAAAAACTGCGCAATATGGAAATGTTCAAATCTTGACTTTGTCTCTGTCTCAAAATTTTCTCCACAATCAAAACCACTTGTAAGCCCACAGCGCTCAAATGAAATAAAAATTTTTTCATCTTTGACTTGACAGAAGGCAGTTTGCAGATCCTTTTAAATAGCGAAGCCAAACTTTTTATTTTCAAGCCAAAAACTCTTAAGTAACGAGGAAAAAATGGAGGCGCTGCAAAGAGTGAAAGGGTTGGGGAATCAAGCATCTTATTTAAGTTGGACTTGCTTTCTTCTGACAGCCTTGCTGAGGGCTCGATGGTAGAAATCTAGCCGCCCCTCTCTGCTGTCACCAAATGGTCTGAGGAAAGGCTTGAGGGCACGGTAGACTGACGCCCACTTGTCTGCTGGGAGGGGGCCAATCTCTTTGGCCTTCTTCTCTCTGGAACCGCCATCTGTCAATGAAAAACATCACAAGTTGCTATGGTAATTTGACAGCCAAGAAATCTCAGCAGTCACATCAAGGATACCCGGGGCTCCATCTCTCAATTCATGCCACTGAAAGTCTTCAGCATTGAAGACTTCATGACCCAGACTTTACTCCCAAGCAAGATTTGTATACCAAACAAGGAAACTGCCCATGAACCTGTGGTCTTGCTTGTACTCTCCAATTCTATCCAACTTTATACCTCTATAATAACCCCCAATCCTCCAAAAAATAAAAATACAGTTTTTTCCCCACAGTAGTTAAGTTAAAAGGCAGAGAGATTGTTGACATTGTGTATACTTCACATACCAGGGGACAGGGGCCTAAACCAATGAATACATCAACTAAAGCCATAAAATTGGTTTTTTGAAATCAAATTGATTAACTTCGTCAAATATAAATCTACATAACAATACAATTGTTACAAAATAATACATTTCAACCAACAATGAGGCTATTACGAGATTTAAAGTCTGGTGAAGGTGGCAAGTATAGGTTTCCAGTATACTACTAGGCAAACTATTTCTTTGGTATCCGTGGTTCAGAAGGAACTGGAGAGTACTCCATGTTTCTGACAGTATGTTTTGTCTTTAGTTGAGTTCCTGTTACTTAACATGTGCATCTTACCAATACTAATGCCACCACTACAAGTCACTGGGGAATGTGGAATGCGTATGTTTGGGGGGGCGGAGTCAATGCGTATGTTTGGGGGGTTGGAGTCAATGCGTATGCCATGAGTAAGGGTGGGTGGGTGGACAAAGTCAGTATTCCGTAAGTACATGTACACGTGCACGGCCTCCTTTACCTGCCCACGTCAGGCTCGCCAATGGTCCAATTTTTACTGGCAAGTCACTTCACAATGGACAACCTAAAGCCAAGTTGGAAATGCTTCACCTTTCTCTCCTTCACTGTCTTTCTCTGAAGGCATGAGGTCATCCTCATCTCCCAGGATCTGGAGGAGTTCTGTCTCCAGGAGCCCCATGGAGGAGGTCTCTAGGAGGCAAAGGGTGGCCACTAGGAGGTTGCCTCCGTTCTCTTCCTCAAACCGATCAAAGACCTGCTCCAGCAGCCTTGAAGAAAAGAATATCAGGTACCAGAACTTCAGTAAACTGTTTCAGCATACCCCACCGGATCCTCTATTGCTCTGATTTACTCTACAGAACGTTGGTTCAAAAGCCTGGCTACAAAAACATCACACCCCCTGAAAAAAGATGAACCAAAACAACAAACCAAAACATGATGGAGGTAACCTAGTCAATGTAAATGAACCGCCTAGTTTCTTAAAAATCATAGGGCTTGCCATATAAAATAGTTATAGTAGAATATGAATCTTTTTCTTTACCCTTATAAAAAGTTGACTTAGATTAAAATGTCTGACCATCTCGCTTTAAAAAAGGGGGAAAGATGATTAAAATAAATGACTTGAATATTTGATTTTTTCATGTTTAAATACAGACCAAGGGAAGAGTCTATCAGCTTGTTTGACCAAACTGCTAAATCTTAGCATCAACATTGTGAAGGCATTTATCATAGCCATGGAAATGTATTCAGAGCAAAGTCGGCAACAACATCACAAGCTTTCTTGGCTATGGACTGACGCACAATGCCAACTTAACAATAAACGTGATTTCCTTATTGCGATGGAAACATCAGGGGTGAGATTGGAGAAAAATGAAATACCTCCAGAGGGTTGAAGGGCCCCAAGGCAGCGTAGTGTCTATGGTATACATTTGTCTACCATAGGTATGGGTGCCCTTAAAGTACCCATTTCTTTCACTCTGTATCAACTTTTATGTGAAAAAGCAAATGGAATACTCAGGATTTTCAAGAGTTTAAACGAACTTGTCCCCACAAAAGACAAAACCATGAAAATCACATCATATCTCAACCTGAAACATGAAGCACGCCATGACTAGTCTGCTGATTCTTGGTTGGTAGTTCTCGCAATAATAACTACATGCACTCAAAGGCAAATTTTATCTAATGCAAATTATTGAACCCATTTTCATAGACTGAGGCTGGAAAAAAAACCCTAGTGAACTCACTCCAGGAGGCCATCTGACAAGCTGTTGATCTTGTCGTTGATCTTGTTGAAGAGACCAAAGATACGCAGCTCCTCGCAGGCGATGGAGAGCCAGAGGGGATTCTGGGAAGACTCCTTGGCAATCAGACTACCCATCTGCTCCTCGTCCAGTCGTTTACTGTACCTTCCTAGAATGTCACTGACTATGCTCTAACCAAGCAAATAAAATTCCATGACCCAACTGGTGAGTCATTTTGGACTCTGAAAGTGCAGTACAGACCTTATTCTTTGTTAGGACGCAAGTTTGATTATGTTTTGATCAAGTCCCAAAATTAAGAGTTTACGTCACTTTCAATTTGATTAACGTGGCTGGCAAGTTCTCTAATTCCTCTCACTAAAACAACGTACACACTGCACTGCACTGTGCCAAGACACCATCTCAAAATTCTTATCAGGTAGGTGGCGGACAGAATGGTCTGACCGATACATTTATTATCGCTGGCTATCAGGTGAAGTGTTCTGAAGTGGTCAATTCTAAGCGATAAATGCCTTTACATTGCATTACTCCCAAGGCTATGTGGTTTCAGTGCAGCAACTCCCCCTTCCATTATTCATTCAACACAAGTCATGGTTATTATTTATTTATCAGTTAGATGGTCCTGTCCTATAGTCAACCCATAGGAATTTTGAAATGATGCCCAAGAACCATAGGCCTAAAACTGAAAGAGGTATTTTTCAGAATGGCAGTGAACATTCAGAAACTTGTACAATCAAAATTTGCAGGATTCTTTATATTATGAAAAAGGTGGACAATCTCCTTTTATTAAAAAAACTCAGAGCACTTGCCTTTCGGGCCTCAATGTCCAGCGGAGTGAGCAGGTACTGCTTGGGCCGGTGCCCCTGGTCCCTCAACACTCTGTGTGGTGGCGTGTCTTCAATCATGGACAGGATGACCCGTACCTGCGGGGCTAGCTTACGGGGCAACCAGCTCAGGATGTTGGCGGAGGTATCATCATCGAACTGCCAATGAGATGAACATGTACAGGTAATGTTTTTTTTTTCTTCCCTGCGAATCAGTAAGACAAAGAAATTCTACCTGGAGGGATGTGACATCACAAAGACCAGCCAAATCATTCAACCACTTGATGCCAGTAGCCATAACTATTTACATTATACCCCAACTCACAACTACCAATGCAGTTTCATCTCTTAAAAATTTGTTCAGGAAATCTTTACTCATAGCAGCAGATGATGTGATGAACAGATGCCCTCTAACTTCAGCAATTCCCACTAGTCTCGTACACCTACACAAATTTGTACAGAGGGACTACCTGACCAGCCCGTGGTACCCCGACAGGTTTTGTGCTGCCTCAACAGCAAAAAATGTCATTCATGTCTGGTATCAAGCACCCAAGTGACTACGTCACGCGTACAATTGTGTGTAAAAGGCATTAGAGCGAGAATCAGCGTGTGAACCAACACGTGCACGTACTCAATTTGTTTGCACTACACTTTCTGATTCACAGTGACGTCACACTTGGGTACTCTATAGTGATCTCCAGTGTCCTGCGCAGTTACAAACACGAGGTCAGAGTATGCCAACCTCAAGATTTTCGGCAGCAAAATTGATACTGCTGCTGTGGCTGATTTGTCGTGCAACCAACAACTCTCAAAAGTTGAAAATAATTTCCCAGGCCAATTTTTGGATTTAATACGCTTGTTTTTGAGATGTTCCATACCAAAGGAATCTTCGACTCATTTTGGAAGGCACATATATTATAAAACCGCATCTGTGCCCTTTAATCAAAAGAAAGACGTCTTTTGCTGTTTCTTTTTTGTTTTGAGATCATAGGGGATGGATCTCCTGATAGAAATAGGTACAATACCTGGTTGAGTGCATCGATGACAACAATGAGTGGTCTTGTGTTGGGGTTGGCAAGGGCGCTGTATGTGGCTTGGCAAGTTGCTTCTACCTTCTTTGGAATGGTGGACTCCTGGTGCAAGATGTAAAACCACAGTTAAGCATACTGTGCAAATATCAGGAAACCATATTACAAGTTTTGAAAAAAATGAGGTTTAATATCTTTGCAATTTCAGTGTTGGTTTTCCTTGTTAGAGTAACCATAGGTGTCAAAAGCTTGAAACAAAGTAACCATAGGTGTCAAAAGCTTGAAATAAATATTATGGTGACATCCCTAAAAGAGCATCCCACAGCCTCAAATACAGAAATATGATTGAACCTGAGGTACTTGGATATATTTAGCTGGAAACAACTCCCTTTCGGAGCCAGCAAGCTACAGTTGAGTCCATCACAAGTCCCCTGCAAGTCCGTCACAAGTCATTTGGTCCTCAACCAATTCACAGGCTATTCAAATGAACTGATGCAACAGCATTCCTTTGTCAATGTTCACCCTATTACTTTGTGGCTGGACTTGTGAAGGGACTTGTGATGGATTAGTGATGGACTAGTGATGGACTTGTGGACTTGTGAAGGGACTTGTTATGGACTTGTGATGGACCTGTGAAGGGACTTGTGATAGACTTTTAATGGACTTATGATGCTCTTGTGATGGACTTGTGATGGACTTGTGAAGGGACTTGTGAGGGACTTGTGATGGACTTGTGATGGATTTGTGAAGGGACTTGTGATTGACTTGTGATTGACTTGTGAAGGGACTTGTGATGGACTTGAGATGGACTTGTGAAGGGCCTTGTGATGGACTTGTGATGGATTTGACAACACTTGTAAACTATTCATACAGATTTCTCAGCGTGTTTTCAGGAGTGATGAGTCATGTATGAAAAAATCACTACTCAGTACTTTGAACAAAACTAGATGGCTGAAGCATACATGCACAATTACCACTTGGTACACGTGCTAGTGCTATTCAATTTATAAAACACCCTGCTTCAGTACAAAAGCCCTTACATCAATGGCACCAATTTCCATTAGTAGTCGTTTCAAGCATTTCTCCAAGTCTGTTGATCCCGGAACAGCACCGACAAAGTGGAAGAAGACATGCCATCCATGCTCACCACCGCTGAAATTTGGCAGGATTGGTGAGGCAGAAAAGGAACAAATAAATAATGTAGTTTAGTTTTGCTTTTTCAAATATGGAACTACATGTAAGATATCCAGGCTGGAAAAAGATGAAATTCCTGGGTGCACTTTTAACTTGAGAGCAGCGACAGTCGGATATGTTAGTAGCTTGACTGCATGCTCTTTCTTCCATTTAGTTTATTTTCACACAAACTACAGTACTGCATCAATGGAAAGAATGAATCATTTTGCTAAATATTCATAATCCAAAGTGAGAAACAAAAACTTTGATGACTTTTTCATTTTTTTTTTAAATTGCAGTATTTTATGATTGGCACATTTGCAATCCAACTACTGAAAAACATTGGCCTAGCATACCCAGGAATCTTCTTAAGTGCCGCCAACCTAGAGGCGATGTCGGCCACGCGTGCCATGATGGCCGACTTGCCGGAGCCTGGTCCGCCTAGGATGACCAAGGGGTAGTCCACGCCCACCTCCGTGACGTAGTCTTGAACCTTCTCCAGGGCACTGTTTCGTCCCAGCACCAGGGCACCACGGTTCTTCATGAAAGACTGTCGTGACAAGAGAGTTTTTGAGCAGGTAAAAGGACGCAAAGAGGAGAGTCTGAGTTATACCCGGCAACCTAGGAGACAGAGGGAGCGCCCCTAAATGTCCAAACCCTATACACACTCTATACTATTATTACGTAATACATCACCAGTAGGGGATCCACTGATAATATT